CTTCCTTCCTTCCTTCCTTCCTTCCTTCCTTCCTTCCTTCCTTTCACACAAACCAGTCAGGTTTTATCATGTTCAGCTTTTTAAATGGTGCAGAACTTCCCAAATAAATTTATAGGTTGTGTCAATCACAAGGAACATTCATTTCACCCTGACTGCATCAAACCTTGAGCAAATGAGGTCTGTGCTGGCCTCCAGCAGGGAGGCTGGGATGCTGGACCCATTCCATTTTGAAAGGCTACACACAGATTGGCACTGTGAGATTCAGTCCCTCTGCCTTAACATAAATTAAGGTCTTACTCTGACTTCACAAACTCCCTTTGGCAAGTCTACTCATTTGTCTTCCTTTTACAATGTGTTCTTTCTTTCTTTAACAGTGTTTTTTAAAGGTAAAATGTCTATAACTGGCTATATTACAGCATATTACAACTCTCTTATCTCACAACCACATTTGATCATAATCAAATGTTGCTGCCTTTAACATGGGTGATTCAACAAACAAATTGAATCAAAGGAGCGATGAGTCAGTGACGGCATAGAACTCTCCTGTATTGTCATGACCTGGATGAAGAGCTGCCCTGGAGCATGAGATCTGCTTTCTCATCTAAGCTGCCAACTGTCTAGCAACTCTGAGAAAAACAGCATTGTAGATGTCTCTGTTCATCCTCTGCTGTAAAAGCAGAGAGAAAAGCAAGTTTCACTAAGTGTTTTGAGAACTACAGATGAAGAGAAATCCAGGGGAGAACCACAGCTGCTATAAATGTTGTCTTTGAGACCCTGTGTGATAAGTAACAAGTGATTTAAACTTTCTGTTTTCTGACCCATCTTCCACCAAGAGAAAAAAATGTTACTTGCCAACCTCTCAAGGTTTTTTTGAGATTTCATTGAATTAACATCCAGAGAGCCATGTGAGGCTTAAAGGACTGCAGGTATTACTTACAACAATCATTATAAAAGATATGTGGTGGATCAACAAGATAAAGAAAATTGCATTTTTCCATCTTCCCAATTCTTATATTATCTTCTCCTTCATGCAAGGTTCTGTTAGATACAGGATCTGTAAAGCCAAGTAGCATTTCTTTAGAATTCATTCATTCCCAGATGTCAGCTAAGTCTCTTACATTTTCTGATTCATGACAGCTTTAAATGTTGAAAATAACAGTTCAGTGCATTCAGCTGGGCAGATAACTATTAGTGCTATTGGTAGAGAACAAGTGTGATTTATGCTGATTAATGGCTTCGTTGGTTGTTAAGGGGGTTGTTTCAATCCAGAAAGCAGAAATAAGTGAGAGTTGATTTAAAAAATCTTTGTAAAGGGTAGACATTTATTTACATGCCTTCGTAATCTGTTTCTGAATTTGAGAAATACATATATGAGTGTTTTAGCATTTGTTTTAGAAGTCTTTCTTAGCATCTTCACTGCATGACAGTTTGTCCACGTTCTGTTATATAAATAACCTTGTGCACTGCTTCTGCTGTCCTTTCATTTGACTGTCAGTTCAACCTTAGCATAAAGTACAATGGGTGATTTGTGACAATGGTTTTCAGCAGCATGAATCTGGGATAACAAGACAGGTGTGGAAGAGCTGTTGATGGCGACAAGAGAAAGATAGTTTCATACTAATCCCTTCATCCGAACTAAACTTCTCCCCTCCCCTTTCCCTCCTCTTCATCAGTTCCTGGAATACTGTAAAATTTGCAAAATAAGTATTCTGGAATGGACTGCCCAGGGAGGTGGTGGAGTCACCGAGCCTGGGGGTGTTCAAGGAAAGGCTGGATGTTGTGTTGAGGGACATGGTTTAGTGGGAGCTATTGGGAATAGGTGAACGGTTGGACTGGATGATCTTTTAGGTCTTTTCCAACCTTGGTGATTCTATGATTCTATGATAAGTAAGCTGTGGGGTGTCTAAACATCATAAAACAGCCTAATCATTTGCTTTATGGGTGTTACTACCTCATGGAATCACTATAAAGTTTAATATAAAGCTGATACATTTTCTTTATTGACTATTGTTGCCTCAGAAGGTTCTCTTTCCTTTTCCATTTTTTAACTCTTATTGCACCAAGAGTAGAAAAGCTCCTGTGGTTGTTCCACAGTACAGCCCACTAGCATCTTGACCCAAGGCTGTTTTGAACCTGTTTTCTAGGGCAAGCAGAGGGACTTTTGCAACAAAATCAAATTTCCTAACAAGTTGAAGTTAAATTCATTGTCGTATCATCCTGCTGAGTGCAACATCTGTTTCAAGTTTGCAAATTCTCTTTCTTATAATCTTGATATGTCTCTGCATTAGGTGGCTATAACTCATTACCAGACACTTATGCAGTGTTTATACTGAGCTGTTACTGCTAGGTATTGGAGATCAGATGGTGGCAGAGCCTAATGTGGAAGCTTATAGGGTGAGTCTGATGTGTCCAAATAATATCAAAGTTGTCTCCAAGGCCAGATTGACTATAAGGTAAATGCAAAAGAAGTTCTGAATGCATAGATATGTAAAGAAGACTTTTAGATCTGCAGCACAGGTGTAAGTTGGTCATTGTGCACTTTTTAAGAATCCTCTCTCGAAAAAAAATCTTCAATTGTTTCAGTAGGAAATAGAAAATTAGCATCAAAATTAACTAGGGAATCCAGAAAACAATTTGGGGGGCAGCTGCTTAAACAGGCACCTACTTCTGCCTGCAGCCAAAAATGTTCTGATCAATGCTGAAGTGTCTTGGTAAGGCATTGCTGTACAAATAACAAGTGATTTAAGTATACACAAGATTTGAAACAAGACCCTCAGCGTAAGCAGTTACTCTGAGTTCAAAGAGCAATTGCAAACACAGGTAATCTTGCTGCAAGCTACCTGATCTCTGGTCAATACTATTGACCACTGTGTTCCCAGTTCCAATACAGTGAAGTACTTTGATGCATGAATGGCATATGAAAACTTCTGCACATCTTGCAAAGGCTGCTTTAAATGCTGAGTATTTGCTTAGGCCATTGTGAGAGTCAGGAAAAGATCACTTTTGTTTTACTATATACTAAATACATTATTGTCATTATTATAAAGGATGTGATGTGGCCCTATCAAAGATCAGTACATATTTTTGGTACTTCCAAAAGAGTGACTTAGTTCAAACAATCCTCCTTTTTCTGCCTCATCATCACACTGGTTATCATATTTTCCAAAGCATCATTTAACGGTGATGAGTAATGCATTTCATGTCACAGAATCACAGAAATATAGATGATCCTGAGTTGGAAGGGACCCATAAGGATTATCAAGTCCAGTTCCTGGCTCCACACAGGACTACCCAAAACCAAACCCTATGTTTGAGAACTGTTGCCTAGACACTCCTTGAACTCCAGCAGATTTGGTGCTGTGACCACTGCCCCAAGGAACCTGTTTCTGTGTCTGACCACCCTATGCTGATGAGAAAAGCAGGCAGGATGTTTGTGTTAGTAATTTTTTTAGTCTGTTGATATGAAATACCTTCTCACTTGAAGGAATACATGGACTTAAATACTTCTATTCCAAATTCCTAACGTCTTTCATGACAGGCTGGCATTTGTGCCTGACCAAAAGACCGCTCTAATTACTGATAGAATTCTGAAAGATCTTAGTTAATCTTGGATAGTGACATGAACAGAATGATGTACAGATGTAAACTTGTAATCAGTGTACTTTGTATATCTAGAGTCATGCTGTGTCATTCGCAGCTGCCCCTAAATCTGAATACATTTCTTTTCAAAGCATCCTCACTTTTACGCTTAGCCTGAGACTGTTCTCAAAATGTGGTCAAAAATGCTCTGAAATACTGTTATTTTGTGAGAAGCCCATTAAAAGCTGTGGCTACAGAGTTTTTTGGTTTGGTTTGGTTTGTTTTTTTTTCCTAAAGTGATGCAAGTGAATTGTTTTGTCAATGAGATGCCTACTATTACTAAAACTAAGATAATGAATAGGGTGCAGTATTACCACAACTTTGAGCATCTTAGCAAGTCCAAATGCAGGCAATTAATTGCTTTATATTTTCAGGGACAAGCACTTTTTTTTTTTTTTTTTTTTTTTTTTTGACAGCTTTATTAACCAAAGTGGAATACTGCTTCCATTTCTCTTAACTCCAGAGATCAGGTAGCTTGCAGCAAGATTATCTGTGTTTAATTGCTGTTTGACCTCAGAGAAACTGCTTAGGCTGAGGGTCTTGTTTCAAATCTTGTGTATACTTAAATCCTTAATCTTAGTATTCCTGATCTTAATGTCATTATCTTGGTATCCCCAAACCCACAGCTATTTGGGCTTTAGCCTTTTTGTTGAAAAAAGCTTATACTAAGACAGCTTTGAACTACAAATTTATAGAACATGTATTTTATTTAAAGGTACGTAACTGGTCAGTCAATCTTCATGAAAGGGACCTCATTTTAAAATAATTACAAAATGAATTTGATGTTGCTCTGTAGAGCTAGTGTGATGATGGTATCCCAAATACCACAGTTCTCCACACAATTCATGAGAACTCTGTGTGTGTTCAGCTGATTGATTCTGGAGTTCACATCTTTCAGACAGCACTTCTACTTACCTCACATTCTAAGGAAGTATATGATTCATCTGAGATAGTTATACACAGTAGATGCATTTTAATTAGAATGCCATCTTCATGCTTTATGTGTTTCGTGTATCTGCCAAGAAGTATTGACTGCAGGGATTTTAAAATGAAATGTTAGGGGAGATGCTGAAAACACATTTCTCATCTATTTGTATCTCATGAATGCTACTAACCTTTCCATTTTGCTACAAAGAAAGTATGTTACTCATTTGCTTAAGGAAATAACATACAAACACAATGTTGCACAAGAGAGTACCAATATGTTTCTGTATTGCTACGCACTTAGAATCATAGAATCATAGAATCACCAAGGTTGGAAAAGACCTAAAAGATCACCCAGTCCAACCGTTCACCTATTCCCAATAGCTCCCACTAAACCATGTCCCTCAACACAACATCCAGTCTTTCCTTGAACACCCCCAGGCTCGGTGACTCCACCACCTCCCTGGGCAGTCCATTACACTGCCTGACCACCCTTTCTGAAAAGTAATACTTCCTAATGTCCTTAATCTTCAAATATTTTGTTACCTTGTGAGAAAAAGTGAAAGATAAGCCAAGAAAGTGTCTCTGTGGATCTGTTTTTAATAACAATGCCATCAGCATCACCATACAGCAAGCCCACAGTTTTATGTAGTTTTCAAATGAGACAGTGTTGCCAGAAAAAAAGAGCCTTTGGTCCTTCCTCCATCCTCCATCCCCCTTCTGCTTACTCCCTGCTGCTCCTTGCTGTCCCCAGCCATCCTCCGCACAATGGTAAAAGCATTCATGTAGCCGTGTAAAGGAGTGAGCAAACTGTGTGAGAATCACTCAGGTGGATGAGCTGTAAAGGCTTGGTCACAGGAATGGAGAGGATCTCCTCTCACATTCAGGGATGTGCTGCTCTGCCCATAGTGTGTAGGACTTCTTATGGCACAGGACATGACTTCTGAGCCCAACTCCCTATTGCTGAGGCAACCAGTCCAGGTTAACACTTCTCAGAATTGGTCGAATTCCCTTCAGTGAGTTAGGTCCATTGCCTCCACTTATCTACTAGAAAACTCCTCCAGAATTTCACTCTGCCGATGGTTAGAGTTTTTATTTACAGGTGGTTCGTACTCATTTTGCATACACTTCAGTGCTCTTCCTTATCCTATCCCTCTCTGATATTTACTCTGATCTATTTTTAGAGCACCATCACGTCCCCTCACTGCATTACATTCAATAGATGAAAGTAGCGTAGCTTTTTTTGTCATAAGACAGGCTCTCCATTCCCTCAAACATTCCTCTAACCCCCTCTGCACCTGTTCCAGGCTGAATTTCTCTTTCTTGAGCCTGGATGATTGGAATGGCAGAGAGTGATCCAGAGGAGGTTTCTCCTTTGCTTCACACGATGATATTAATATTTGCCTTCAGCTTCACCTCATACATCTGAGGACTGTGCTTATTAACACTTTCACTGTTGCATTGTGTTCTTTGCTCAGTTATTCTCTGGTTATTTAAATACATCCACCTTTTTCTCATTTGATGGTCATCAGCTAACAAGCTCCCAAAGTACAGTGGAAACATCTGTTTCTAGAATCTATCCCAGAACTACCTGTCCCACATAGCGTGACTTTGCCCTTTATGCTATTGCTGTTCAACCAATTTCTATTATTCCATTCAAAACCATAGTAGTTTCCTTTTATCTGACACAGGTTGTGATCCAGTGGGACTTTTCACATCTACCTAACCTGGGCAGGACTTCAAATGAAGAGCCTTCTATGAGCTGCTTGGTCACAGTGCTCACAATGGAATAAATAGATTAGATAGATTACTTTGCAAATAGTTACCTGATGATTTTGAACAACACAGTCTGTGTTGTTCAACACAGTCAAGAGACTGTGTACAAAATCCTTATTATATCTGTTTTTCTGTATCTTCCTAGTGAAGTTTAGTTGGCATGCATGCTGGGGAAAAAAAGCTTCTTATCCTGAAGCCAGAATGTGCCATCACTGTGAGCATCTATTTCTATTAAACTCTCAACAGAGAATTAGGGAATCTGGCAAGAGGTACTTGAATTCATGTTTTCCCTTTACAAACCTCATGCATTTACCAATAGAGCAATATGCTCCTTTCAAAGAAAAAATGTCCAAAGGGGTAAATTCTGATTTGAGTGCTAAAGAAAAATTAGAAAAGCCTCTCATCAAATAAGAAAGTCAGGAGTATAGAAATGAGTTATTGGTTGTGTGTCCTGAGACTAACAATAACCTCTTTGCTTCCAGGAGACTGAAAAGTCTGATACTACTGGTGAAACTGAGGCACACACAGAACACAGTGCAGATGAAGGGGCCCATGAAGAGGCTCAGCCACCATCAGAAGATCAGCAGGTAATTTTTGCTTTTTCCCTTTGTGATTTGAGGGTTTTACCTGTACTGAGCACATGAAAAAACACACCATGGCCCTCCTGCTATGCCTGAGAGTAGGGAAGACTGATTGCAGAATGGCCCTGCTTGTCTTTTGGATGCATTTTCTTCATCATGGTGATATGAAACCTAGATAATACTCCAGGAAACACAGCTCTACATGAATAAAATAAGTTGTCTTTATTTAATATTTTACATTTGCCACTAGTGACCGTGTGCTTTTTTTTTTTTTCTTAATGCTCATTTGGAGCCTGACTCTCATTATGGAGGATAATTTAGAGCTGGACATCTGAGTACCATCCGTGTGGAAAAATTTGCTGCTATCGATGGCCAACATCTGCAGCGCTCGTAAATCTGTTTGTTAATGTTTGTAGTCATGTACCAGCACTGACTGCTGCCACAGCCAGTCATATCTGACAGCGTCTTCTCCAGGCCATGCAGGAACCCCTGGGCAGAGCAGAAGTGCAGAGCGTTGTTATCTTTTCTACCTGCCTCATGGCAAGATATCAAAGTCACATGGGCACATCTCAAACTGCATTGTGAAAGGTTCATGAAAGAAAACATCTGTTTCCTTCAGTTCTCTAGCAAAATTGCTGCAAATCATGATATTCACGTTCTCCTGCAGATAGCTGATATCAGTAAAGTTGTGGTTGAAAGCACAGATGAATCCAGTGAAAAGCAGTGATTCTGCTGTGTACACATTTCCTCCTCAGTGAAATGTTTATATTACTCGGCAATATCTAGAACCAATAGAGACTAAGCAGAAATGGATCCAGTGTCTGGAGATAGAGATGCAGATGCTTTTTGCTGCTACTCTGCCAGTATGGCATTTAAGAACAGGTTTGTTCTGGTGCTGTACTATCAGGTGAGTCTCTTCTCAGAACGTCCAGCATACTGCTGAATTGTAAGAAATGTGTTATTCCTTTCACTAAAAAATGAAACAAATGTTCTTTTGTTTTGTTTTGTGTTTCGTTTTGTGTGGTTTTGTTTTGTTTTGTGTTGTGCAGTGCTTATCCTGAAGAAGCGTCTCTGTTTGTACTTTCTCCATTTCCATTTTCAACAGTGACAAAACCATTAGGCTGGAATGGTGCACCCTTTTGCACAACATCATCCAAGTCTCAGGCACTGGAAGTCCCATTTAAAATTTTGCCTGCGTGGCAGTGAGGAGGGGAAGTGTCCAGAGGGAACTGAAATTTCTCTTTAAACTGTATCCAAGTGCTTTTCATGTCTCTATGAATTCAGCCAGCACATAAATGCCATCAATACCCTTTTCTCTTTAGAGAAATGCCAGCTCTTAAGAGAAACCCAGCACAATGCTACAGTGCATACCCTGGCTGGATTAGGTTACCTGCCGTTCTGGCTGATTGTCTACTGTAATGTTTTTCAAATGAGAACAGAATGCTGGAACATGTTTGCGAATATGTCAAGCAGCTGTGCATGAGAGGTTTTGTAATGACATAGTGCAATGCTGCTCCTATACTACAAGCACCTTGCTCAATTTCTTACAGAATAGATGGGAGCTGTAAGTGGAAAGTATGTTTGTCCTCTCATTTTACAGGGAGGGAGGTGGAATAGGGTGTGAACACCAGGCAAGATGGTGCATTTGATCAGATCCCTCTTGGTTATGAGGGCACAAAGCATGCTTAGTCTTCCAAATCTTACTCTTTCAACTGCACAATCTTGGCTGTGTTGAAATGTTCTTATGTGGTATATCATAAGTGGGGAGAAAAGTCTTCCAGAAATTATGCAGCTCTGATACCCACCTTCATCATGTCAGATGTATGCCAGCTCCTAGGGGAAGGAAACAGCACTGTTCCTGTTTCTGTCCCACTCCTTGTTACAGAGGGTTCTCATGACTGCAGGCAGCAAGGTAGCTCCTGCCAGGGATGAACAAAACCCATTTTTCATCCTGGCCTCCCACTCACTCCCTGTGTCATGTAGGACAGATCACATCAGTGACGTGGCATCTGTCTGCCTTTCCACAGATCATTGTAATTATCACTTCTGTATGGATGGCATTAATCATTCTTTTGAAATTCTGATATTTTCATTCACTACAGTGAGCATGCAGGGGACTAGTTTAGATGAGAAGGATAACTTTGAAACAATCATATTGCCTCAGAATTTTTTTTTTCATGTCTGTAGCTCATTGTTTTACTCCACAAAGAGAATTAGCATTTTCTTACCCAGTCAGGGTTTTATGAATTTAAACAAGTTTAATGTTTATGAGACTGCTATTGGAATACCTCTGCTGTCTGTTAGGCCTTAAATGATTATATTTTGTTATATTGATATTTTCAGTATTTCCATCTCTTCCACTCATTCTGCAGCCCAGCACACCTTGTTCAACTGCTTGACCACAATGAATACGTGTTTTCAGCATGCTCTTCCAGCCCAGCAGCAGGAATGGTAACCAGTAGCCAGCATGGGTACATGTAGAGGCTGCATGTGTTCCATGCTGCTTCTGCTGCTCTTGCTGGGGGATACAAGAGCCCAGAAGCTCCATCTTTTTGTCTCAGGCTGGTAGGACCCTGAGAAAGCCAGTGAGAGACCCCAGTCCTCACCCAGTCCTGACCAAAGAAATAAATTTCTTTGGTCAGCAGCTCCCTCCTAGAAGCAGCAGAGATAAGTGCACAGTGCAACAGATTGTTCTTCACTCACCTCATGTCAGACCTGTGTGCAGGTTTTCAGACTGCCTGGGTTCAGCAGCTCTGGCTCCTCATTCAGACATGGATCCAGGAGAGCCCAGAGCAGATTCTGGAATAGAAAGTCCCTTACACAGATTCTGCAGTAACAGGAGCAGCTCTCAGTCTGTGTTGCCAAAGGACAGGTACACTTCCATTCCTCTTGATTATAGTTTCGTTTTCACTTTAAACCTTTCCTTCCTTCCCCAGTCACTTCTTTCACACATTCTTTCCTTCCCCGATCACTTTGTTAATTTATTTTTCCTAATAATTAGGACCTACTCCTAAACTTCTTTCCTAATCCTCACAGTGATAGAGATGTTTGAGGAACCATTTTGCTTGGATATGGTGTCCCTTACCCTTGCTTGGTCTGTCCCTTTCTTTTTGAGTTTTTGCAAGAAAGGACTGTGACCTCTTATGCACTTATTTTTCTTTATTTTTACTGTCTGATATTAACTTTAGATTTTAGCTTGGGGAAGTTGAATCAGTTTGCAGTACAGATCAGGCTCACTTCAGGGCAGAATTATTTTAGCAACATGTTCAAAAATCATATTAAAATGCAAGTCTGTATCCTGTCTCTGCAGTTCCCCAGGCCACATATAAACCCTGGCACTCCAGATCACTTCCTTATCTCAACTCATTCTACGTAATGTCATAGCTGCTCATGCCTTCTGTGTGCTACTGCTGAATTGGCCTTTCCTCTTTGATTTTTTGTGTAAAGTTTGGCTTTCTCTCCAACAATTGGCTTGGTATCTGACATGAAATTCTATTCACTGTTTTTTCTCTTCTTATTTTCTCTCTTTTATTCCTCTTCTCTTCATCACTTTGGCTCAATCTACAGTCTAAAGCCAGTTTGTAGTATTTCATATTCCCTGGTAATGTTGAGCCAAGGCATCTGTTCCAGCCTACAACAGTTAGTAGAACTTCAAATCAAATTCTGAGTGATGATATATAACACATATAGAACACTGCGTAATTCTGATTTAACTTTGATTTTGAAGACCAGCTAACTACCACCCCTCCCCCACTAAGGCAAAAGCAAACAAAACCTAAGCTCTAATGATTTGTTTGCAAATGAAGCAGATTTGATTGGAAGTAACTGAGAAAAAGAGAGCTGTGTTTTATGCTTTTATATTTCCTTTTCACAGTAAATGCTTAGCTCAAATGTGCTTTGTGAGCTGGAGGACATTATCCTGAAGTAAATCCACTGAATTCCACATAATTTCCCTACATTCAGTGCTTAATTTCTGCTGTGCTTTCTCTGTATGACCTCTGATGTTCTTTTTTTGATCATTTTTTAAATCTTTTTTGTGTGTGTGTGTCTTTCATATAGGAAAACAAGGAAGGAGATGCGGCGGCAGGGGTATAGTATATTCTTTAGACATTTTGCTTTCATCTTTCATTTGTGTGCATTTAATTCCTTTTTGGTCTCTCTAACACTCAAAAGATAGCAAATTCTTGTTCATGAAATAGAATATAGCAGTATTAAAATCTGCTAGAGGAAATTGTTGATCACATCATAGTCATGTTTTTGGAGAGCATAAATAGGTAGTTAATTGTTAAAAGCTGTCAATGAAAGATACACTTTCCTGGATTCTTCAGTAAAATTTGCCAAGGACTCACAAAAGAGATAGGTCTTTGAAAATCTGTGACTGACACTATGCTGATTACAGTCATGCTGATGATTTAGGCAGTTCAGCCTACAAAGGGTATATTTTCCTTGCTTCCTTCTAGGATTTGTAAATTCTGCAATGCTTCTTACATGCTTCTCTGCTTTACACAGCATTGCAAGTTTATGCCTTCAATATTTCTTCACTGTACTCAGTGAAATTAATTATTACTTTAGGCTATTTTCCACTGCAAACCTGCAATTAATTGGGGGGCACATCTAATCTTCCCACTTCCGAACTGCAATACAGGCATATATATATACATGGGTACATACACACATGCCTGCTGCCAGGGTTGTTGGTATGAAAGCTAAAATGGAATTCCTAAGCCCATGGGCAGAGTATTGGTGCTTCTGGTGCTTCTGGTGAGGCTTGTGAGGGCTGTGAAGGCTTGCTAGAGTGTTCTGACACTATTAGCTCTTACTACAAGCAATAAAAAAATATATATCTTTTGTAAAATGTAATTGACTTAAATTTGACACTGAAGTTGTTGGAATGGATCTAGAGAAGGACCATGAAGATGATTGAGGGCTGGAGCACCTCTCCTATGAAGACAGGCTGAGGGAGCTGGGCTTGTTTAGCTTGGAGAAGAGAGGGACATCTCTGGGGAGATGTCATTGTGACCTTTGTTTATAAGGTGACTCATTGTTTACAAGTGAGCAGGAGGGAAATCAACTTTTTACACAGTCTGGTAGTGATAGGACAAAGGAAAATGGTTTTAAACTGAAGGGGGGAAGATTTAGATTAGACATCAGGGAAATTTTTCACTGAGATGATAGTGAGGTTCTGGCACAGGTTGCCCAGAGAAGCTGTGGTGCCCTATTCCTGGAGGCATTCAAGACAGTGTTAGATGGGACCCTTAGCAGCCTGAACTGGTGAGTGGAACTGCATGAGCTTTGAGGTCCCTTCCAACTCAAGCCATTCTATGATTCTACCTAAACAACGTTGGTTGTCTGAGGGCTTTCCTGGCTCAGTTTGGTACTGAGATTAACCTGACATGCCAAAGAGTTGTGTCTAGCAGGTATTCCTTTATTGCAGTGCTGGGCACATAGGGGATGGCTCTGTCCAATATCTGTGCCTTGGCTCACGTGTAGATTATATTTATTGGTTGTGTTCATACATACTCACATTTTGTTCCAGAATTTCATGCACATGCTACATATTTTCTCAAACTCATTAATGTTGTTTTTAGAACTGATTAACATAAGACCCTCCCCCTTAGAGCACACGCAGTCACCCTTGGGGGTCTTTTCAGTGGTAATCTGAGGGTTGGGGAAGGAAGGCTGATAGTCTTCATTGCTCCTAAGCTTTTGTCCTCAGTCTTCAGGAGCACACTCAGTTAGGTGTTTGCTTCCTTTTTAAATGAGATTTCTCTAGTTTGTCTTGATAGGGCCCAGCAGTCTTCAGTTTGACTTCATTCTCCTTCCTTGTCTTTAATGTAATGCATATGGTTCTTCCAGATACTGCTGCTTGCATTATTCAAAGTCCTCACTCTACCAAGTTTCAAAAAGAGTGATAACCAAGGACACTTCTTCTACAGAAAGAATCTGAGAGATAAAATATTTTGTTGGAAGGAGAGCTTCAGCTGACTTATTTTATATTCCCTTTTTTTGTAAGGATGATCCCTTAGTGCAATAATTTCATCTAAAAACAACTATTCACTAACAGAAATCTGACCGCAGAAGTTCTATTTCTCAGAAGAAAGCAGAAGCCCATGTTTAAATAGGTTGACTCAGTTACTTGGATATGATTCCTATATGGACTGTGAGAGAAAAAGCAAAGTTCCATCCTTATATGGAACATCCTTACCAGCAGTCCTGCCTGAAAACTAATTTTGAAATCTCTAGTTTGCTTATAGCTCCAGGATGAAATTCCTTTAAGTTGTGTAGTTCAGATATTGTGTAAAAGTATGACATCTTTGAGATAAAACTTGTTTACATTGAAGGTGAGGTTGCTCTGAGCCTGAGTTTACTGGAAGAGAAGGAGTAGAGAAGCCTACAGTGCTATTTCTGGTTGTTTTTAAGAGCACGGTTATACTTCTACGCTTCATTTACTAGCTCTTAAAAGACAATAAGCACAGATTGCTATCTGTGTTACATAAATGCTACCTTTCAAATAGCAGTTTATTTGGTTGACTGGAGGAAAGAACTATTGCCTGTAAATTGTGCATTTTCTCCTTTGTGAAAAAAAAAAAGAAAAAAAAAAAAAAGGAAATGAAAAAAGAGAAAAAATTTAGGAAAAGAAATAAAGCCTTTTTTATCTGACTCCAAATTATTTTTTTTTCTATTATTATTTGTGAGTCTTTTTCCTCTGCCATGAATACTCGCTTGTTTACTTGAAGAAAACTTCCAATTCAAAATATTAAATTTTGCCATGTTTAAATGTACTCTATCTTCTCATTTTGATTCAGAATGGCTATTTGCATCTTATCTATGGACTATGCTCTAACCTATCTCAGAAAATAATTCTCATATTCCTATCGTTGCCCATTAACGCCACAAAGCTTAGAGCCATGGACTATTAGGAATAAAAAATCTGTGTATCACTCTTCTATTTTTCTAAAGCTTTGGTAAGATTACTTTTGCAGTTACAAAAGCATTTCAAGACTCTTTATTTTTCCTTCATCTATTATATTCTAAACTACAAATGTTTTCTATAAAAAGGAAGAAGAAAAACATGAAGAGGGAGAAGAAAAGGAAGAAGAAGAAAAACATGAAGAGGGAGAAGAAAAGGAAGAAGAAGGAAAGCAAGAAGAGGGAGAAGAAAAGGAAGAGGTGGAGGAACAAGAAGAGTCTTAGTACACTTCCTTATGACACATTCTCTCTTGAAAGGTTTTCAGGTAAGTATAAGATACCCAGCATTTCTAAATGTTCCTAAAGAAGCATTGACTTGAAATTTTTGTGCATGTTGTTATATGCAATGCCTTCAAAACAAGAATGGAAAGAACTAATCAAACCCATACATATGCTGTATTTGCCCAACAGATGGGCCAAATGTACATTTAACTGTTAGACTCACTGCAGCTTCTCTTCTACCTTTCTGATCTCACTGAAAATTTAAAGGGCTTCATGTCTCAAATTGGTCAACGTGTTCAAAACAAAGGGGAAGGATGGAGGGCCTGACCAGAAGTATAATACACTACAGTCTATTACTCTGATTGCTTAGAAACTTGGACAAAAGTGATTTTTGAAACTCAAAACAGTGATCATCCCAGAGGCAGAATAAGAGCATGAAGCACTGGTCAAGTTTTGTCAGAACGCGTTTTTAAATTTAATTTTTAGTTTTCCTTCTTCCTCCTATTGTCTCATCTCTTGTGCACAGAAATAAAGATTGAGCAATCACTTAGTAGGAAGAAACTATTTGTCTACAACAGGTTGGAATTTCCAAAAGATTTTCCCTCAGATGATGGGATTCTCTCCCAGCAGCAGATGCAGAATATTGTGTGTTCTTTCTAACACTGATAGGATTCTCAGCTATTTCTACTTCTGAGACAACTGCCATAGGTTTCAGCATATGTACTGAAACCTGGTGCCTCAACGGGACAGAAAAGCTATCAGCCCTTCAACACTACCTCTCCCAAATCTGAGTTTCTCTGCTTCATGGAATTTAATTCAGCTTGTGCTGTTCAGTGTTCAGACGTAAAGTCACGGAAGGAGTACTAAATTCTGCCCTATTTTTCCTTATTTTTGTTCAGGAAGCACAAGCTGGAGCAGCCCTGCCAAAGGAAAAGCCTCCCTCTTAAGCAAACCGTCACTACCTTTCATGCCTGTGTACATGTGAACGTTTAAATACAGAACAACAAAGATACCACTGTATCCTACTTGTAGCCTTTGTATATATTTGGTATTACAATTGCATGTTAAAGTGGATCTTCTTATACCTGAATGCTGATATTTCAGTTGATTGTTATGTGTTGGAATAGTATTGTCCAGTCATATCTTAGATTGTAAGTTCCCCAGAGCAGGAACCATGTCTTTCTCCATGTTTATGTACTGTCAAGCACACTGCTACCACTCATCAGATAACTGCACTCACACAAGTGGTGTTGTATTTGGAGAAAAAAAAATTCAGAGCTGAAAACTACAAAAAGGCTTCCTGTATGCAACTTACGTGAGTCACTTCTCCCTCAGCTGGCTTTTGAAAGCGATTGAGATTTCCATTGTACAGCAGTTTAAATAAATGCATTTTCTGTCACATCCATTCTTTGTCTGTAAAAGTATTAATTTAACCCTAGCTAGCAGCACTAACATCTGTAAAAGTAAGTTTTCTTCATCGTGATGGTTATAATTTATGTAAAGGTTTCCTCCTTGCCTCCTGCTAATGTTTCTGGTGCTGTGTATACATTCACCTGTGTCCCAAGGGATGTACAAGATACATGAGCATATTCCTTTCTCATGAGAGGCAGAAGCAGATCAGACATGATCAGATACCAAACAACAAAGAGAAAATGAGGTATTCTTCTTCCCCTCTTAACAAGTAGTACCGTGGTTAACACTATTATGTAGGATAAGAATAACGATGTTGTTAATTGCATACCTACCTGCCTCTACCATTGGCAGCCTGCCTGCAGGAGACTCCAACCACAAGGTTAAGTGCTCTTCTTTGAAGGAAAGAGATGTCCTGGCCCCTTCAACAGAGACTGTGTTAATTTTCATGGATAAATCTGTATTCTCTGGCATGTGGAGGCAGAGAAAATTAATTCATATTTGTGCTCTGTGAGATGTTTACTGAGAAGGATGAAGCTTAAATTTCATCCCCTTGTGCAATTACTTGCTAGGAGAGTTATAATAACTGTTTATAGAAGAGAGAAGATAAAAAATACTTACTGCCAAAGTAGTCCATAGCTACACAACAAAAGGAGCTGTAACTTTGTGATGAACTCTGATCAAGGAGCTGGCTTTTTGAATGGAAATCTCCTGTATTGTGAGTGGGTGCATGAGCAACAGCTGAATAGGTCAATAGGCAACTTCAGGAAAAAGGAAGCTCATAAGCAGATATGACCACCTGAAATGTGTCCACTGATATCTCCAATCCAGTGAATTTTAGCTGCTGAGGATTATAAGCAGAAAAAGTGGCATGTAGGGGATGGATTCACATGCTGCCCCTAATTAGCATTGCCTATTTCCATTTGCAAAGGCTAATTACTGGGTTAGGTGAGCTATTGACCTGATCCAGTTCTTATTTGCCTGTAGGTGAAAACTCCTCCCTGGGAAAATGCTCCCCATCTCACTGGCAGCCAAATTGAGGTGCTGGGAATTGCTGCAGTAGTTTTGAGCGAAAGGACACCATACTTTGGGGAACGTGATAAATGCAGTGCAGTGAGACTGTGTTGACCATTTGTGGTAGCCTCAGTGCATCTCCAGGTTGCCTGAGCTTCATGCAGTTGATGGCCCATGCGCTCCAGTTTTCCTCTGCCCAGGCATCTCAGTGCACCAGGCGGGCCCCAAGGCTTCAGACTTGAAACAAACCCACCAAATCTCACGTATTCAGGAATTACTTGTTAAGGCAGAAATATGGCAACCATCTCCTTGAGGAGAGAATAATCTGACAAGCTGGTCAGGGAATGTGAGGAATGCTAAGCCCCACATGCAGGAGTGACGCACTGACCTGCCCTCAGCTGGTGGCACAGGACTCTCAGTGCCTGGTGACAAAGCCAATGGGACAGCGTACAGTTGCACTCACTGAACGGACGTTTGGTGCTTTCTTTGGGATAATACTTGTTGGCGTTTACTGATCACCTTTTCTTCCAGACTAAAGGAGGCTGTGAGTATGCAAAGGACAAACTAGCTGAAAGCCAGCTGCTGCTCCATAGGAATGCCCTGTGTTTTCAACCATAACACTAATTCTGCTTGCAAAAGCTTAACACTTTCTGCAGTAATTCATTGCTACTAGGAAAAATAAGCTTTTCTAACTCCGGCAGGATGAAAAGCAGTAGCACAAATACGTCAGCTAATTAATTAGATGCATTTGAAAGCATACTGTCTGCATTATTATATCGTTGATTTTTCACTGAGAGAAAACAGAGTTGGCTAACTGAGACTGCAGGTGCACTGTGCTTCACTGTGGATGAAAAATCATTTCTAGTTCACCACAAGGCTTAGTTAAAGCCTTAGTAAAATAAAGGAGCAAGCTGCTTTTAAGCTGCTTTTGGTGGCACTTTGGTATGTAAAGTATTTTTCTTGATGACTGATGTTAGAAACTCCTAATGTGCCAAAACAAACTAAAATTAGGAAGGCTTCACATTGTGTTTTCCTACAGATCCATATATGTCAGAGGGTGGTGGCTGGTTGCACTTAAAAAAAAAGATGGTCAAATTTAACAGGCTGCTGAAATGTAAAAGAGGGACATCGCAAAATACCTAAGTCGATAGAGTGAGTCAATGGCAGTTTTCCAGGAAAATAAGTATTAGGGCTACAACCTGTTGCTAGAAATGGAGAGGGGTAGGTATCAGGTCCAGTAGGCAGTTCATTGGAGAGAACTGAAATTATTCAGCAGTTTTGCCAATATGGCACTAGCCCTTGGCATTTGTTTTTGGTGATCTTTTTAGCCACCATGTCTGTTCACCTGCCTTCCAGCTAATAAGACTTGCTAATCATTTCCTGTGTACTGCGAGATTATCAGTGCAAAAGGAGGTAAGCCTACTTTTCTGCATTCTTTGACAACCTCAGGAGGCTAGAGATAATCTTGAGAAACAATCTGGGAAGATGAAAATTCGACATATTAATTTCTTCAGAAGACAGATTGAAAATATACGGTTTGATGTCAAATATCTTGAAGAATGTGGGCTGTTCCTGCAGTTGCAAAGTCATTGTCATGCACACAGAAACAGCAATGCTCAGCTGAGACTCTCAGCCTTAGTGAGCTGCTGTCTCCATTTTGCTCATGAGGAAATAAGGTGCAGAGGCTGCATGAAGTGTTTAATGCCCACAGGTCGAGGATAATCGATTCTGAATCAGGTGTGGATTACGTGGGACGTGTCCCACTGCTTCAGAATACAGCACCCATGATTTTGCATGCAGTTTGGACATCTGTCATTAGAAAATGGAGAGAGCCTTGGGGTTGTTAACTCAGGGGACTACAGGTCCCTTGCACCTGCTCTACGGTTGCCACAAATTCATTGAGGAAAGGTTTCATCCTCTAATAAGGACGCTTTGCAAAGAATACAGTTGTTGTGTAAACAGGTGTATGAGAAGTTGAATTTTGATATCAGCCTGTCCAAACTCATTTTTGACCACAGCCTATTCAGTTAACTTCCTTGTGCTTTGCTTTCTCCATGAAAGATAAGAAAAAGAAAAAGAATAATCTTGTAGAAAATTTATGAGAATAAAATGAAAGCATCAATACATTGATCAGAAAATGGAAGTATAGCTTCCATTTTATAATACATAATATTATATATTATATAATTAAATCCATATTATATAATGGAGCAATGACATTGGTGGACAAAGGAAAGGAAACTGACATCATCTACCTGGACTTGTGGCATGGCCTTTGACACGGTCCTGCACCACATCCTTATTTCTCAACTGGAGAGATATGGACTTGAAGGCTGGACAATCTGGTGGATGAGGAATTGGTTGGATGGCCGCAGCCAGAGGGCTGTGGTCAGTGGTTCTATATAGGTGCAGATGGAGGCTGGTAACAAGCAGTGTCCCCCAGGGTCCATCTTGGGACCAGTACTCTCGAACATCTTTATCAATGACATATATAATTGGATCAAGTTTGCTGCTGACACCAAGCTGAGTGGTGCAGGTGAATACAGCAGAAGGAAGGGCATCCAGAGGGACCTTGATAAACTCAAAAGGTGGACCCATGTGAACCTAGTGAGGTTCAACAAAGCCAAGTGTGAGGGATTGCATTGGGATTGGGGCAATCCCAAGTATACGTACAAGGAGAAGAAATTCTTGAGAGCAACTATGCAGAGAAGGACTTGGGGATCCTGGTGGACAAAAAGCTGGACATGAGCCAGCAGTGTGTGGGCTGCATTGCAAGAGGGATGGCCAGCAGGGAGGGGGAAATGGCCCAGGCTGAGCTCTTAAGGCCTGTTCTCCTTGGACTAGGAGGACTTCATCAGGACAAACGCCTTTTTCCTGTTAAATCCAATTCTCAGCTTACTAGGGAAGCATTTTATTTCTTTTTTTACCTTGAAGCTTTACAGTATTGCAGCAGTAACCCCCCAGCACCTGCAAGCCCTTGGTAGGGCTGAGCAGAGCAGCACTGGTGCCATGAGAATGCCTGCTGTTTCTGGCTTTAGCCTTCAGAGCCACCACCTTGTTAAAGTTAGCAGCCCCAAGGCACACACCAAGCATATGAGTGGCCTTCTTACTTGTTGCTGGGTCTGTATTTCCCTCCACTACAGGGATTTTTTTTTTCATTGTGAATTACCTACACAATAAGGTCCAAACAAACAAAGCAGACTTGCCTCTTCCAGCATCCTACTCTAGACCTAGCTGAGAAGCAGCTGCTGGCCATTCTACATGAGTGATGCCAGCAGTCAGAAATGGAGCACAGGGTGTTAGAGGATTCTTGGCTTTTTGTGTGCTGTAGTACTTTTCCATAAGAGTTGCAAGATTGCTGGATTTTAATGATGCAGTACGCTGCATTAATGTTAAGTACAGACAACTTAAGTGGGTCTGGTACTGGCGTCCATGTGCTCCTAATTGGATTATGATGAAAGCTAGAGGCAGTGATGAAAAATTATGCCCAGCCTTTGGCCAGCCTGCAACTGGTTTCAGTGAAGCACCAGTGTGTTCTGTTGCAGATGCCTGCATCAGCTGCAGGAAATGGCTCCAACAAGAGTGGGGGTCCCAGGCAGCCAAAATCTGCTGCCCAGGAGCAGAGGGGGTGGACAAGAAGAGGCTGAGGTGGCAGCACTCTGCAGGGATCAGTTTTGGGAATTGTGCTTAACGGATGCCTGGCACAGGCTGATGAAGCTCAGCATGGGCAAGGAGCTGGGAGTGCTGCCTGTGCAGAAAACAGGACAATGGGCCAGGAAATGGCCCTGGAAGGATGCAAGTGAGCAGAAATTTGACAGGGTAAAGAACCAACATCACATGCTTTGAAGACAAACAGGAGTTTCTACTTGAATCTGAGTGCCTGTCCTCCTGGGACACTTGTATGAGCCTGTGTGCATGGGTTCGTTGTGAAGCCTGAGGAGCTGTAACACGATGCAGCAGTAGCAAGGAGACATGTGATGA